CATTGAGGGTACATCAAGTTCACAAGACGATAGAAACGAAGAGCGGATTGGAGATGAATGATTTGAACGATTCGATATGCGCTACACTATACGGAAAGCCTCACGGCTTGACTCGAGCGTTACAGAGTACTGTTTGGGCTGCGATGCATCACGCGGCGAAGTCATGGCGTTTAATGGGGTTTGAGCGAGCGAGCGAGCATACCTTTATCTGTGAGCGCGCACGCGGAGTTTCGGAAAGTATACATGGGTTGGCAAGGGGGAAAATTCCTTAGGCGCACTCTTTTGGGTAAATTTACATCTTACTAGTTAAAATCGCGCGTAGTCATGGCGGTTGAATGAACAACGTTGACGGCTCGCCCTGGACAACATCAATGCAACTCTGTGCTCTACTACTTTTCCTCTCAATACTCAAAGACGCCAGTGGGGATATTGATCAAACGAGAGTTCTATTTCTTTGTCCGTAACTACGCTGATGTATAAACAATTGAAGCGAAGTTTTCGAACCGCAACTTCCACCTGTCGACTTCTTTCCCACCAACCGATCAATCTATATACAAGGCAGCACCACTCCCCGTCCTTGAACTACCTCATGCCCTCCCCCAATGAGACGTGATTTCAAGCCAGCGCCTTACAAAGCCGGCTTAGCGTTCTTAACTAGCATCTCAAAGTACGCCTGGTTCCACTGACCAGCCTCGGGACTGGGCTGGTACGCATCGGGCTTTCCGCAGAAAGAATCGTACCTAGTAGCCGAGCTATCACTCGTACCATCACTCTCGCCACCAGGCTTAACCCAGACGAACGAGTCGACAAGCGAAGAGCCCGTGTTGCTCGTAGGACGAACACCGAATCCAGCGCCGTTGACGTTGCACCAGTTGCCCCACTCCTCGCGCAGGCCAGTGACGCCGTTGCGGCCCGTGTCGACAATGGCTTGGCCGGGCATGCCTGCGGACTTGAGCTCGGGGGAGAAGAGCTCAATGTACTTCTTCTCGTTCTGCGCTTTGTTGTACTGCGCGTCGGAGGAGCCGGAGAACTCTCCTGGGGACAGGTCCCAGGCGTTCCAGCCGGCGACGTTGGTGGCTACACCGCGGACTTGCTTGGGGCTGCCTGCGGCTTTGTAGACGGTGGCTAGTTCTTTGGCCCCGGGCTCTGGAAAGGTATTGTTAGGGATGGGATGGGATTGGGGGGATGGGAGGGTGCTTACTTAGGTTGTCGTTCCAGCCGAGCCAGCCTCCGTGACCGGCATCGATGTACATGGCGATGTTGGGCAGATTGAGCTGCTTCAGAGCGTATGCGACACCGTCGCGGTAGCCAGAGGCGGAGTCCTTGCAGGTCTGGAGGTCGGAGTTGGTGACCAAGTTGGGGAGCGAATCGGGCTCGATGACGAGGGCGATGGCGGTGTTGGGGTACTTCTTGAAGATGGCAACGATGGCTTGCGTATCGTTAGTAAAGGCTGTGATCAACCGAAATAAAACGCTTACGGTCAATGTATTCGGACTTGTAGACGCTGAGCTCGCCAACAGCAAGCTCACCGTTGGAGGCCTTGGCTGCACAGTCACGACCGGGCAGATCGTAGATGACTAGTGCGGCAATCTGGTTGCAAGGGACGTCTTTGATACCATCCTCGACGACGGCGATCTTCTCACGGGTGTCGCTGATCATCTGTTAGTAGATATTTGTGAGGACGAGCAGATTAACTCACATCCACAAGAAAGTTCCAACGTCAGCAACCTTGAGAGCCTTAGCCGCCATAGCAGTGTCGGTCATCTGAGCAGCCGCAGAAACGACCTCGGATGAGTAGAACTTGTTGGCGTAGATGGATCGGGAGGCAAAGGGGTTGCCAGACAGAGTAACGGGAGTGGCACATGCTGCAGCCTGGCGAGCAGTGATGGGGCCGTTCTCTACGGGAGATGGGAGTGCGAAAGCGCCAGTGATGGCCGAGGCCACGGCGAAAGAGAAAAGACCCTTCATGTTGACGTCTGAATGTAGTTGTTTGGTTGCCTTGGTGCTGGAAGCCTTGAGGGTAGTGAGAGCCTCTTATATCGGCGTTGGATCGTATGCTGCTAGTATGGCGCCAACTCAGCATTGAGGTACCGTCTCATCAGGAAACAGGCCCGGAGACTGCGGACGTTAGCTTCTGGTTTGGGTCTGTGCGATCAGCGCTTGAGATATGAGGCTTAGATGAAGATTTATCAATGGCAGCATGGTACTATAGTAGGGGTCCACTGACATAGCACCAGCTGGGTGGGAGGCAAAAGCCGGGTTTCTTGAGGTGGCGTTGCTTTACTAGCTATCAGCTTTGGATGAAGCATTCTTTTGTGGAAAGACATCACCGCCTCATGAGAATGCCATTAGGATTATGCAGTGGGATGCTCTCTTTGGGTGTCTTCCAAACTTCCGGATGTCATATTCTCTTTTCGTGGCTCAAAGTCGTCTTGATAGGTCTCCAGCCGCTTGGACCCTGCCTACAGGGTAGATAAATGAATGTTTACTATTATGGTGGAATGTTGATGCAGAGCAGGGCAACAAAACGATAAATGAATGTTTACATGAGACGTATTGGGGTTGCGGGGGTGCTTATTGTTCGGGTCTCCTACCCCGCGATCTTAGTCCTCAGCCTCACTCTTGATGACGATGATTGGTAGTTTGCGACATCATCTACGTAGCCCATAAGCTTCCCATCGAGATATGAAAGGGTTTAGTATTGTGGGACAGCTCATCGGGCCATGTGACACTGGTCATGGAGAACCGTCTTCCGATTGTTGTTGCAGATGAACTCCTCGCAGCATCCGCCGTGCCCATGAACTCTTTGGCAATGCACAAGTGATCAACAAATTTGCAGTAAAATGACGCGAGTCCTCTTCCCCGACAATGCTGTATTGGGGGTTGATTGGGCTCGGCCCGATGTAAAACGTAAGCAGGTACACGAAGGCAGCCCGGAAATCTTTGGCTAGAAAGCTTCTCGAAAGGCTCGAATGTACACATGACAGTCGAAATTGATGAAGGCCGATCTTGGAGGCTCTTTAATTTTGCATTTATCCTGATGCACTGCACATGGGAGGTTACGGCGAACGAGAGACCAGGTCGATAATACAGCCAAGCCTCGCTACCGACTTGCGATGCTGATCTGGAGGTCGTGTGAGGCAGGAAGTGCGCTTGCGGTAGGCTTCTGGAAGATGAGGATTGGGGGAACTCCCGGGTATATGCGTCTGCCTGAAATGAGCATATGAGAACACGAACGGACAGCGCAATACGTAGCAGACGCCTGGAGGTGCGCGGTACCATTGCATTTGACCGTCTTTGTGTCAAATAGTCTTGGATATACTCTTCTTTGCCGCACTGGACGACTTCTGGTACACGATGGCATGATACGAGTGGAGCCTGTGCTACCAATAAAATCACAGCAGGTTTGATCTCGTTACTGGTGCTATACGCGTGGAAGGCGGCAGACCACTTCCGTCTGGTCTTGTGAGCGCACGGCATGCGTATCGGCGCACGACCTGCGCTGCTGCAGCTAGCTGTGTGGTTCGGACCGCGTTATGAGAGAGTGAAGGTAACGGAGAGTCTGAAACTGATACATAGTGATGACAGCGACGCTCGGAAGGATGATGTGAGTGGTTGATGTAAGTGACGAGCTTCGCGTTCGCAGATGCCAGAGTGGTCGGGTAATTGAAGCTTGCCCACGCTAATGACGAGTCTATTCCCATTCCAGCGTAGTCCCAATATGGAGGCCATCTAATGTACCTAAGCTTCACGCCATTGCCTCGCAAGCCTTGCGCTTGAGGAGAATTTCTGAGCTTGTGTGAACGTCCACAATTCTCGAGAGGATGGTTAGACTGTGGGAGATTTGTATACACTGAAAAGAGTGGGCAAAGATATAATGGTGGCTCTTGCGATCCAACCTTGGAAGTTTCGGCGGTAAGGCCTCGCTCAAATTGCGTGAAGATTCGACGAGACCTCTCCATACCCCTGTGGAGGCGCATCTGGATATCAGCCATATATCCATATCCATTCCATATTGATGCTACCAACTTTTGCGATCGATCACGTGGCCATTGGGAGGCAGGCATCTATGGCACTAGATGCCGGCATCCGACTGGCGTTAGACTTCTACGTCCATGGCTCCTGTCTCCGATACTTTCCAAGTACCTTAATTCCCTTGCTTGAATTTTCTCAGCGAGTATAAGTCGCGCATCGCTGCCCGAACATCAAGAAGAAAAGACTACAACCATTCCGATGTACGAATTTCGGCTAATGAATGACTTCCCTTGCGTCACGTCAAGGTTCTGCGGACAGTGGGGGCCTATCTCCTGTCTTGCCATCCAGGTCTCGTCATACTTTGTTGTATTCGAAGGGCTGATCCGATGAAAGAAATGAAGTGTGGAAGAAGCGATATAAGTAGGCGACACATCGTCCCTACGCGCTCGTCGTCTGGGAAGCGGACTTTGGACAGGTTTCCTGCGTTGGAAAATCCTGAGTGTAAATAAAGCCCACAGGCCGAGGTTTTCGCGCAGACTATGCAGAATATGGCAGACGTTGCTGGGTGACGGTATATCCGGATTGCTGAGGTCGCAGACATGATGGCGCATCTCGCTGTCGCATCGCAGTCGAAACCCTTTCAACGCATTGAGCATATATTCCGCATACGGGCCCATAGGGCGAAACGACGAGCGGTAAGCCCTAGTGAGAGCATCAAATACAGGCGATACTATACTGCATAAAGCGATGATGCAATCGCGATTAAAGCCCTTCAGTCTGCCATTTCCCTTCGAATGGGTATCGGATAAGGAGTGGCGATTCTTCATTTGCCATGTTTGTCCATCGTGGTACTTTGCTCATAATGAACTGAGTACTGAATTTCTTGTCGTATGATGTTGTTTTTCGAGCTTGTATCGTCCACTCGCCCATTATTTAAAACCAAGTTCTGCGGTGCCGACGAGACTGTCGCTGTGTTTTGAAGTGCTTCAGGCCTCAGTTTCATCTGCGCGATTCGAGGCTCAAATCTAGATGGGGGCAGAGCTGTCGTGTCAGATGACATCGTGTCCATAGAGATCTCAGGCGCATCCGGGCGAGACGCCTGTTTGCGTGAAGCTTTCGCTTTCCCTGAAGCAACACCACGACCCGACAGCTTGTATCCTTGAGATGGGGCATGAATCCGCATAAGCTCGCCATGACCGAAACCAGTGTTGAGCGACTCTGTGAACCGCTTGAGCGCAGCGAGCGTCGCGGCCGCTAGAGAGTATGATAGTTCCACAGCCTGCCAGATGACCACTGTGGCTGCCGTGAGAGAGACATCTGATGTAGTCGTAAGTTGATGTATCTCATTTTGGCGAAGAGCAGAGAAGATTAGGGTTCTATCGCGTGATCAGCTAATACAAAAGCACTGCTGGCGAGCGGTACGTACGGTAGTCGGAGCCAAAATGACGATATGACGATGAGTTTGGTTCGGAAGGCCATACGTAGACCCCACACCAACTGAATGGGCAGAAAGAGCAGGAGGACCTCGGTCATGACGTCCAGAGCTGTGAGAGCAATCCATCGTCGCTCACTCTGGGCACATTCGGAGTGCGCAGAGGTGATGTCCCACGCAAGCACATGGTGGACCGAGCAGTCGACATTCAGAAGGAGGACGGATGTGAGACATTGAGCGACGATTATGGCGCTTACGCCGTACTGGAATCTTCTGTGGAATCTTGTCTGTGTCGTGCGCAATAGCATGGCAACGATGGCAATCTTAGAGACGCATAGGGATATGACCCATAGGATGTTACCAGCCGTTGCGTAGTTGTTGAGTTTCTCGATAGCGGATGAGAGAGTAGCCAGCTCGGTCATAGGGCGCCCGAGTCCAGTAGAGATGGACGCAAAAACGACACCAAAGAAACTAAGCGCCAAGACCTATTCGCATGATTGTCAGTAACGGCCTCTCGTCGTGCTCAAGAGTGTTATGAATACACCGCGATGTACTTACCCCTGATAGTAGCACGATCAGATCATCGAGACTGAAAGCTCTCCATCGAATATAACCTCGAAGGCATGCTACACATAGTGTGTAGCATAAGCAGAGACTGATGGTGAATTTCAACGTAGCTGCACGTCCTGGGCCTCGTGCGATTGCTTCCTCGTCATGATCTGCCATGATGCTGCTCGTGAAAAGCACGCGAGAACTGCTCGGTAGCCTTAAGTTCCCACGACAGGGCGTTAGCACACCCGTGTGGGTCGTGGCGTCGTCTCCAAAGCTGCGGCGCGGACAACCGTCTCATCTTATCACCGTACCCTGACTCGAACTTCGCTGTTCATCCAACGGCGAAACCAGCTGGGAACTGTTTTGTTCTGTGCGCAGTGAATGTATCACATCATCCCTTGAGCAGGCGCGTGGACCGTGTTGCGGCTCTCCAAGGACCATTCGTCCGCATTTAACCCATGGCTGGGACCGGGTTCCGATAGGCATTAAATCCTTCAAACCTGTAGCGCTCTTTGGTTAGAATGTGGTGCATCCCTCCTGTTGCTGATTGCATGCGCTGAAGTGGGTGTAGATCGGACAGGTCATTACGGGGTGCCTTGAACCTTGTCAATAATAGGCAGCCCCGTGACGTGCCAGAGCTTATCGCTTCTCAACAGCGTGCCTGACTGCAGCATTTACCGCTCGGCACTTGATCATACATAGACTGCTGTACTTCAGCTAATCAACTCTTGTAGCTAAGATTGATCAAGTTGACTACCTACAGTTGCTTTCCTCGACCTCTCGACGCTCTGACAGAGGAGAATTTGCGCACCTGCCCATGCTGGACTCCTACGACCGCCAATCTGCGACACCACCAGCCTGTAGCTAGCCTTTTTGACGATGAAAGCACGGTAGCACGCAGATGCAGGTTGTGACAGCGAGCGTGATTGATTGGTGCGCGGTTCGGGGCCCCGGGAGGTGTGTGGTGCTGCGGAGCAAGCTTGGACGATAGACACCTCGGCTGTTTGATTCCGGGCGAGGCGTGTTTATGGTGGCCACGGAACGGCCCTGGGAGGGTCCTTCTCCATGTTCCCTTCGATAACACATAACCTCTGCATGCTCTATCAACGAGTCGCCGGTCGGCTATTTGGCCTCGCGACACCAATAGCATGATGCACGACGGTCAAAGAGCATCAACAAATCGAACCTTTCCAGTACCTGATAAGCTTACGCTTGAGTCGCCTTATTATGAATACATGGTATGGTGTACATGAACCAACACAAGACATTGCACAGGCCCCCACGGATATCATGCATTAGTGTCCTTGCGCAATGCGCACGGCTTGAGAGCCCTGTAGTTTCAAGCCGCTCTTCCAAGGCCATCTCCTTAATTACTCATGGCTGATTCGTTAAAGCCTGTCACGATCTCAATGGCACGCCACATAAAGCGGTGATGGGCCCAAGTACGGCAGCTAGTTCCTAGCTCTAGGCACGGCTTGCAATCAACGTGTATAGTAACGGCTGTAGAGTTTGCATCTAGATCGCTTAAGCAGCGTCTGGGACGAATTCCCCCACTGCACCTCCCTCTTCTTTCAGGACATCCCTTACCTCCGTTGATGGCCGTTGTTCTGTAGTCACGTACTTTGCACCATGGCAGTCGTCGGAGATTCGAAGATTGTGAATGCCGAGGAGTACGACACAGGAAGCAATGGATCCGGCGAAGCGGGTAGGATGCATGCCAGTGCTCTGGGAGGCACAGCCCACGACGCCGAGGACATGCAGCGGATGGGCAAGAAACAAGAACTCCGGGTAAGCCCTTATTGCGACGTATATGCAGGAACTCTACTAAGTGTTCAATTAGAGAAATTTTCGCCTGATTTCCATCATTGGGTTCGTGGTTGTCCTACAGTCAACATGGGAAAGTGCTCTACTGTAAGTTCTTGTTCCTGTGTCGATCTATCCCCTGCTAAGTATAAGCAAAGTTCAGCTTATTTTGGGCTATTCAATGGAGGCACAGCAGGAGTCATCTGGATGATGATTATCACATGGGTGTTCGTCCTAGCCATGATTGCGTCGCTTGCCGAGATGGCCTCCATGGCCCCAACTGCCGGTGGACAATACCATTGGGTCAGCGAGTTCGCTCCGCCATCATTCCAAAAGTCCCTTAGTTACATCGTGGGTACGTAGTTGAATGGTCTAAGCATCTAAAGTCTCGTACTGACACCATGTTCAGGATGGGCTGCGGCTGTCGGCTGGGTCAGCGGGATACCCGCCTGTGCACAAATGCTTTCGAGTCTCGTCATCGGAATGGTCCTCCTCGCGTACCCTGACGCCCAGATTGGAGAACTATGGCATGTCACACTGTTGATGATGCTTTGGCTGTTCCTCATGATCGGTTTCAACATCTTCTTGGCGCAGCATCTTCCCCTCGCTGAAGGTGTTGTGCTAGTCTTGCATGTCTTTGCCTTCTTCGCGTTTCTGATTCTATTCTGGACCATGGCGGAGCGTCTTCCAGCGGAAGAAGTTTTCACCACTTGGACAAATGGTGGAGAATGGAGCTCGATGGGCGTGTCTGCTCTGGTTGGCCTCTCAACCCCATTGTGGTGTTTTATTGGTCCAGACGCGGGCGCGCACATGTCTGAGGAGTTGAAAAACGCCTCCGTGGTGCTTCCGAAAGCTATGATGTGGGCTGTTTTCTTCAACGGCATCTTCGGGTGCATCATGGTAAGCACGCCTGGACTACTTTGGATGAGAGGCAAATACTGACTACATACGCTCATTTTAGATGATTACCTTCGTAATGTGCGGCGGTGCTCTTGATTCGGTTCTCGAATCGCCGACCGGACAGCCTGTACTTCAGGCCGTTTACAATGCGACAGGCTCTATCGCCGGCACAGAAGTCATGGGTGCTATCCTCGTCATCCTCGTCTTCTTTGCAGCCGTATCCGTTACCGCTGCTTCTTCGCGCCAGATCTGGGCATTTGCACGCGACAGGGGACTTCCGTTCTCTGTATGGATCGAGCGAGTGCCAGCCGGCTGGGACATTCCCGTCAACGCGCTACTTGTCTGTCTCGGATCCTCGCTCGTGCTCGCATGCATCAACTTCGGGTCGGACGTTACGTTGAACGCCATCGTCTCCATCTCGAACGCAGCTCTCATCTTCTCCTACATCATATCGATTGGATGCGTGCGCTTGAAGCGTTGGCGAGGAGAGCCACTGCTCCCTCGACGCTGGAGCCTGGGCAAGTTTGGAGGCATCGTCAACGACCTTGCTCTTGCCTTTTTGGTCGTTTCCTTCATCTTCTCATTCTTCCCGATAGTGCCAAACCCTTCGGCTACGGACATGAACTGGGCGGCGCTTATGTTTGGCGCGATGGCTATCATTGCCACGGTCAACTATTTCGTCAGCGCACGGAAGAGTTATATCGCGCCGGTTTCGCTTGTCAAACAAGACTAGACGGTGGATGCATCATGTTAGCAGTCATTCAAGACCATAGGTAGACAAAAGTATCCACAGGCTGCCTACCATGTTCGCTCGGAACGAATTTTGTTCTGAACCCTTATCCCTAATCCCTTCTTGGACTAGCGCTATTGTGGTCATTCCCTCACGAACACCCATCTTGCATCCCCAATTCCTGAACGCGATATAGAAGGCTCAATCACATTTATAGGCCTCGATAACCTTGAGATCTGCGTATACCTTTTCCCCTCTGTCTGAGACCCTTCCAAAACGTTTCTTTCCTTTTTTCGTACGCGATGGTGCGGGGTATGCAAATGTGAATGGTCGTTCTATTTCCACCCGCGCAGACACCATCAACTTTACGCCTGGAAGACTGGTAGAGCCCACGACTACAATGTCTCAACCTTTGAAAGAAACCGACATTCTGTTTCCGCACCTTTTCAACACACCAAATCTATCCAGCACCCTCTCTTCCCTGCGCCGCTCAACACTATCAACGCACAACCGCCTTAATTCAATCATCTCCGACAGTGTCTTTGTCAGTTCAGTCGCATCTGCCTACGATCTACCCCTCATAGCCAATGAACGTTGTGGAAGCTGGTACATTCCGCCAACCCAAAAGTCTGGATCTGTCTACTTCAAGAGCACGGACGGTCACATGGGCGAATGGAGCTTCAGTCTGAGAAGACTAAATCTGCAACTGCTGGATGTGGTGGAAAGATTTGGTGGTGCCGTGGTTGTGGATAGCACGAGGAGGGGCAAGAGTATGCCGGACGCGCTGAGCAAAACCATTCCGACATGGTGCTGTGTGATCAATAGAGCTGTATTCGGCACACCTGGGAAAGACGAGATGCGGCTGTTCACGCCGCCACAAGCTGTGGGAGAAAGCGAGCATGCGCAAATAGAGAAGAGGATAGACGGATTTGTGCAACAATTTCTGGTGCGTGTCTCATCTAGGCATTTCCGAACATATTCACTGATATCGAGTCAAGGATATCTGCAAACCTAACATCGTGGACCTTCGCAGTAAGCTGAAGAAGCCCTTCCGACCAATCTGGGTAACACAGCAATCATCTCTTCCGGACAGTCCGCCTTCTTTCCCCGACTTTCACCCGATCGTGCTCTGCACAGCATCGCGACGAGTACGCGGTGCCGAAGCATCGGAAAGCGGGTATATTCAGGGTGCTGCCGATGACCATGAAGCATGGTCTCATGGACTTACGCCGGCAGTCTTCTGGAAGAACAAAGACGTGTTGATGAAGACGAGCGAGGAAGATGCACCAGCTCTGATCGAAAGATTGCTCAACGAAGACGGGCGTAGCAGCGCGAGCGCAAGTCTGATCAAGCCAACGTCAAAACTGTACATCTCTCCTAGTGACCAGATGAAGCTCGACGGATTCGACGTTGTGATTAGTTGCACACCGGAGCCCTTCGCCCCTTCGATGCTAAAGGACGGCGGAGTCAATCACTACTTGCACCTCAAATGCCAAACCGGCAAACTTGGCTCACGCGACCTCCGCACTCAACTGCCCCGAATTCTATATTTCTTCTCGTCCCTGTCAGAACCAACCACCGGAAAGATTCTCGTGTGCTGCCCAACAGGCAAGGATCTATCCGTCGGCACCGCCTTAGCAATACTATGTCTCTACACAAACGAGGAGGGAGCGATAGACACCAGTGCACCAAAGGAGACAAGTGCCATCGGAAAAGCCTTCATCAAGCAAAGGCTCAGTTG